GATAACTTTTTGTCTCAACAGCTATTTTGTTACAATAATTTTATAAACTTTTATTTACGGTCGATTTCACCGTTTTGTTAAACGAAGTTTAAAATAGTAAACGAAGATTAAAATGACATTTTTATATTAACAAAAATAAAGTTTAAATTACTAAATGGAGTTTAAAATGACATTTTTACATTAACAATGTCATTTTAATCTTCATTTAGTAATTTAAACTTCGTTTGACACAACGGTGGAATCGCCCCTTAGCTAGTTATATATTGATAAAGTGTTATTGCCCTCATCAAAAATGAATCGTGCTGACAAATAAAGTCAAAAAAACGTCTCATAATTTTTCATCTTTTAGTTACCTACCAAAATTAGGTAGTACAATACAAATATTTAAGTCCGATCCAGAACATCTCCCTACTCCTTCCACCCAGTTTTTCGGTTTTGGCAAAATTCGCGCAGTGACAAATGCTTCCTATGTTACCTCTACCCTTTCTAACCTCTTTGTCTTTACCCCAAATCCAACAGTCATGTTTAGTCACAAAGCCGTTCAAATGGAAGTGCGCCTCATCACTAAAGATAATTTTGTTGTGGAATGCATCGTCAACTCCGTGTTGTTCCAATATCCAATTCGCAAAGTTTCTGCGCTGTCTATGATCGGCTGGCTTTAGCTCTTGCGTCAACTGTATTGAGTAAGGATAAAAATAACAATCCTTTATCAAAATTCGTAGTAATGTACTGCGATTGATATTTAATTCCTGGCCGCGATGTCGGATGGAAGTGTTTGGATGTTACATTACATTTTCGTTATTGTCAATGTTCTGACAGAACACATGCCTAATATGGACCACTAGATGTTTGACAGACGGAAATGGCGCGCGATTTAAAATTCAAGTTCTTATTGGGACACCCTTTACTTTCGTCTAACATTATTTAATGGAGGAAAACCTTGCTCTATCACAAGAGCGGCTGCTAGTTCTCCAGCTTGAGCAAGTTTTTCCTCTAAAATATTATCATCTCTATAATTTTTAAAATTATCATCTAGATTCTTTAAATAGTTTTGGCACACTTTAATATCAGTCGTTACACTTTGCATCATTTTGCTAACAATGCCAATCTGGAATAACACATCATACCAAATTATTACACTGCAAATAAATTGGATTGGATACTTAATAGCATAGAACTTGCTTTATGCCTAGCTTCTAAAGGGTGTCCCAATAAGAACTTGAATTTTGAATCGCGCGCCATTTCCGTCTGTCAAACATCAAATGAGCCATATTAGGCATGTGTTCTGTCAAAACATTGACATTAACGAAAATGCTGCGTTACACTCTTGAAGAACGTTCATTAATTGTGAGGACCCATACAGAATTAAAGAAAATTTTACAGGGACAATGAGCAAGTTACGTGAACATTTCGGTGTATATAATCGTCCGTCGCGGGCCGCTATTGAAAATTTGATCAACAAATTTTAGCGGACATTTGCATTGAAAGACGAGACAAGTGTTAGACGTCATCCTGAAAGGTCTGTCGAAAACATCGCCGCCGTAAGAGTCAGTGTTAACGAACATCCAAACACTTCCATCCGATATCGCGGCCAGGAATTAAATATCAGTCACAGTACATTACAACGAATTTTGACAAAAAATTTGCATTTTCGTCCTTACAAAATACAGTTGACGTAAGAGCTGAAGCCAGCCGATCATAGACAGCGCAAAAACTTTGCGAATTGAATATTGGAACAACACGGAGTTGACGATGCATTCCACAACAAAATTATCATTAGTGATGAGGCGCATTTCCATTTGAACGGCTTTGTGAATAAACAGAACTGTCAGATTTGGGAAGAAGAGTATTCATATGCCGTGCACGAGCTTCCAATGCATCCTAAGAAAGTGACAGTTTGGTGCGCCATTTGGGCAGCAGGGATCATCGGACCTTATTTTTTTCAAAATAATGAAGGTATCTCCGTGACTGTAAATGGTGATCGCTACTGTAGCATGCTGAGAGACTTTCTTCAGCTGGAAGTGAATGGAATATACATAAATAACTTGTGGTTTCAACACGATCCGGCGACCTGCCACAATACACGCGAAACAATGGCGTTACTGCAAACAAAGTTCCCAGGTCGTGTCATTTCTCGATTTTGAGATCAAAATTAACCGCTGAGAAGTTGCGATTTGACGCCCTTAGACTATTTCCTCTGGGGGTATTTAAAAAGTAGAGTATATGGGAAGCATCCTGAAACGATTCGGCAACTGAAAGAAGGAATCGAACGAAATATTCGTGAAATCCAGCCGAGTTTGCTCGAAAACGTCTTCTAAAATTTCGTCGAACGAATATACACCTGTCAACGGAGCCGAGGTGGCCATTTGACAGATATTTTGTTTCATGTTTAATGTCAACATTTTTTCTTGAAAATCCAATAAAATATTTGCATAATTTTTTTTAATTACTAAGTTTTCTTTGTCATTGAAAATTCAAGTTCTTGTTGAGACACCCTTTATGTTAAAAGTATCATTTTCTGCTATTTCTAGAAGGCTATCACAAATTTGAATTAAATAAAGCTTTAGCAGCCTTATGGCATCAATCCAACTTGACCGTCTCGTATCACTTAGGGGTTTTAGATTTAACTTTGGGACTTGCTTTTTTATAATCTCCCACCTTTTTGTGGATGAAGAGAAAAATACAATATACAATTCTTGTACAATATTGAAAAAGTTTACTGTTTTATTTGAAACTTTAGCAGCATCATTTGCTGCTAAATTTAATCTAAGTGCAGCACATGGCACAAAAATGCCCTGGGATTAGTACTGAGTATGCGTTTTTGTAAACCAGTATGTTTTCCGCGCATATTTGCTCCATTATCATACCCTTGACCTCTCATGTCTTTAATATCTAAATTCAAATTTTTCTAAAGACCAACGACAAAATCAAATATCCCTTCCCCTGTCGAGTCGGATATTGGGTTGAACGCTATGAAACTCTCTTGTATTTGAGCCTTTTTAGAAATGTCATTTAGAACGAGATAACGCAAAACGAGGCTTATTTGCTTTGTATGACTTGTATCCGGTGTACAGTCTTAAATTATTGAATAATATTTGGAACTGCGAACCATATTCAAAATATTATTTTTTACTTTAGAACACATCAATTCAATAATTTCGTTTTGTATCTGATAGCCTAAATAATGGGCCATTTTTAAAGAATTTGTTTGTGAGTTTTGCACTCGACTAATGTGCTCTCTCATCACAGGATCAAAAGAGGAAATCATCTCGACAGCTTTGAGGATGTTTCCATTATCAAATTCAAAAAGTATTTTAGAAGAACTTTGGAACGCTAGACATTGTCTGGATAAAAATTTGACAACTGCAACATTTCTTTCCAGAACGTCATGCCAATATTTTTTTTCAGTTTCTAAAACCCGTAAGTGATGATCGTTTACGATTGTGGATAATTTTAATATTCTTTTTAAATTCATCTACGCATTCATGTGAACATTATGTACAATTGATGATTCATGTCTTTTTATGGCTAAGGACACATGTTGCCAATCAAAAAAACCATGACTATCAGAAAAACTATTGAAAGTCTTTCTGAAAATTTTACAACAAAAACAAAATATCGATTTTTTTCGAAACTGAGTAAATGAGCAAAATTTTATTTGCTTCTTCTCCATTTCAGTTTTTAAAAACGAATAGCCTTCGTTTCATTGTAGAGCTTGATTTTTTCTGAAAATTTCAAATTGATATTGTTTTCTGTTTTTGTTTTATGATTTTTTTTTAAGTTTCAATTCCTCCTTAACCCCTCAATTTCAAAATCAATAGGCTTCATACCCCTATAGAGATTGATTTTAAGTTCATATCATTTTTAAAAGTTGTTTAAAATTTGATGAGAAGGATTTTGGTACAAAAATTTTTAAAATTGGATGATTAAAAATTTTGGTCTCTTAAAAGTAAGCCTATAATAGTCTTCACAGACACTGTGTGAAGACTTTAATACTTGTAGGTGAAATTAATAGTAGTCTTCTCTCATTCTTGGAAAAATGGACCAAATTTCGATGCAGGGGTCAGGTATTTCCTATAAAAACAAGTGTACGTACATACTTAATCCTATTAAACTAGACGATCACAACTAGAGGAAAGGGGCCTATTACGTGCATAGTAAGTATAAATTACTTTAAATATCTCACAAAAGGGGGGGAGGTAAGTAAAAGTCACACGCTTTTTACAAAACAAGAAGCGACCAGAGAGGGGGAGGGTACAATATTACAAATTGCAGTAGATTACCGATTCGATGATGATGGGTGTTTTCTGGGTATTCCTCACCTGTAACTCAATTATCTGCAGGTCATTTCGGAGCGCCAGGAACTTCAGAGGAACTTCAGAGCTTCGGGTTTTTTTTTTAAATCATCACCGTATGTTGTGTTAGCAACAAATATTCTGTTAAATGGTAGCAGAAGACATATGAGCATTACAGTTTTACACCTCATCTAATTACTGGAGACGTATCTTGATAATTTACATTTTAACATTTAACAGTTTTGTCGAGGCTAAGATTTGACCTAGGGCAGCTTGAAAAAGAAGCAAATATTTTTTCTCTATTCCTAGAGGGCTACAAAGTCACTACTTCACCAAGTGGGGTATCGTTTGATAGGGAATTATTTGAAGATCCCAACATATCTATTTTAATTTTAGACTTTAAAATGTTTATTTTTAAATATACGAAAATAATAAAATATTTTTATTGTTTATGAGAAAATGCACTGGCGTGCTTTAACTAGATAAATAATAGTTTGTTTTTAATTTTCCAGCAAAATAATAATAATATTGTGCTTTACTCAATTCTAATATATCCATTAGTTAATTAAAAAAATTATCTTGAAAGAAAATCAATTAAAGAATTATCACACTTTTTTAATTTGCGTTCAATCGTTCTAATCTTTTTCCATAAAATAAATCAACAGCACTTTACGATTTCCATTGTTAAATACATCAAAAACTTACTTGTTTTTCTTGGTCCCTTCTCCATCAACTTCTGGCTCCTGCTGGTCTGCATTCTCGAGTGCAGTGTCCGCTGCACTCGGGGGCGGCAAAACCCCCTCGATCCCTCTTTTCACTTCACCGCCAACGCCCTCGTCGTTGACGTCCATCGACCCCTGGCCTGGCGTATTCACACACCCATCGTTTTCGAAATAATCTTCACATCATACATGCAATTAGTTGGTGGCCCAGAATGGACATTTCATACGAGATGTCACAGTTAGTGAGATCAATAAATCTGAAATGCAGAAATTACGTGGAATTAAAAACTAATTTAAAATAAGCTTGATCAGATCATATATACAGTGTTTGGCCATAAAGGTGGATCAATATGGGATTTTTTTTTTTAGTATAACGACTGGAAAAAACATCGTAGGGCAATCACATCTACTCCGCATTAAAAAATATGAACGATTTTTCAAAAAAAAAAAAAAAATACTGAATTTGACAGATAACTAACGCAGTACGTACCTAGTCAACTTTAATATCGAGGGTATTCTGGTAAAACTGACTATGTGCAGTAACATGTATTTTATTCACGCCATCGAGAAGTGTATCTTATTTAACATCGAGAGAAACTATCATAGACAAGAGATTATCATTATGTTCGATAGTCGAGCAGCCATCAAAGCGTTGAGCTCTTACGTAATCAGCTCAAAAATGTTCTGGAGATGCCTAGAACAATTGAATGAGCTAGGCGAGAAAAATAGAGTTACTCTCACTTGGGTCCCGGGACATAACGGGGTACAGGGTAACGAGATTGCAGATAGTCTTGCAAGGAAAGGGACTCAAACACCCTTTGTAGGACCTGAGCCGTTCTGCGGTATCAGCAGTAACATAATATTAGGAAAGATTAAAAAAGAATTGGGCAGTAGAAGAACCGAAAATTGGAAAAATCTCTTGGGGCTGAGACAGGCCAAGATACTTCTGGGTGAATATAACCAGAAAAGATCGGAAACCTGCATTTGCCTGAGCAAGAACAGGCTACGTATTGTAACAGGGATCCTTACCGGGTATTGCCGACTAAAAGGACACCTAAGTAAAATTAAAGTAGTAGAGGATAGTGAGTGCAGATTCTGTGAGAAGGAGGACGAAACCTCCATTCACATCCAAACTGAATGTGTAGCACTCCAGAATTCAAGGACACTCTATCTAGGAGGATATCAAATAGAAGAGGGAGATTTACCTAACTTGAAGCTACTTCAAATCCTACACTTGCTTGAGAAAATAGGATTGGAAGGGTCGCTATAGGCATTGAGACATTTCCTTAGTGCAGTGGCGACAGAAGGGGGCACAATAGATCTTTTAGGTCGCAGTGTATTAACACTACATTCTCCACATAACATAACATAACATAACATGTATTTTGAGATAATCAATTTTAAAACTTCAAAATAACACTAATTAAGAACGATATTATTATATAATATTTAAAAAAAAGTGGAACCCAAATGGTGTAAATTAGAACAAATATAACAAAAGTACTGTACATAGACGGTTTTACCTGAAAATAAGAAATTACACTATAGTAAATAGTGAATAAGTTATGACTGCCTAGATCTCCCGACCTTAATAGTTTAGACTACTTTTTCTGGGGGCATCTGAAAAGCTTAGTGTACGCCACGGGGGTCGGATTCCATGTAAAGAGTTGGTAACAAGTTTGCTTGACCTCGACAGTAGCGCGCTAAGTGCTTACGGTTGAACTACACCTGTCAGTCGATAAAGTAGAACACTACTAAATAAAGCGATTCAAAAATTGGCGGGCTTGATAATTTAGATATTTGAAGCAATTTGAAGTAACATTTTCCTATTTGACAACTTTTACTTACGACTACTAAACAAACAATAAGTTTAGTGAATTTTTGTTGTAGGTAAATGTTAAAAAATGGAAAATGTAGGGGGAGAAAGACATGGAAAGACCTGTGGAATACGCAAGTCGGTTACTAACCCCAGCAGAAAAAAATTTTTCAACAACGGAAAGAGAAGCTCTTGCCATTGTTTGGAGCGCAGAAAAATTTAGAGGCTATCTTGAAAATGCTGAAGTTACTATTGCCACAGATCATCAGCCATTAAAATGGCTTTTTACACTAAAAACGCCATCAGGACGACTCGCACGATGGGCTTTAAGACTAAAAGGCCTTAATATGAAAATAGTATATACGCCTGGAAAGATGAACGTCGTAGCAGATATGCTATCAAGACCTTTTTGTCCACATCCTGACGACAAATCATGCGAAATTTGTTTTGTTACTGTGGAAATGCCTAGATTCTCTCCTGATGACATTCGTGAAAGGCAACTAGCAGATGAAGACGTTGCAAAGATTATTAAATCTATCGAGTCAGAAGACCCAGTAGAATTAAATAGATGGTCAGAACGAGGATATCAACTTTCCAGTGGAGTCCTTTATCGTTTTAATCCAGAGGCAGATGCTGAAAATCCACAATTGGTTGTACTTGCTTCTTTACGAAAAGATATTCCTAAACAATGTCACGATTCTGAAACCGCTGGCCACTATGGTGTTGAACACACTTATCAGAAAATTTGTGAAAAATTTTACTGGATTGGAATGCGAATACAGATTACTAAGCACATAAAAAATTGTTTAGACTGTCAACGCTACAAAAGTACAAATTTAAAGCCTGCAGGACTTTTGCAGAACCCAGCGCCTGCACGTTTCGAAGTTATGGCCGTTGATTTATTTGGGCCACTTCTGGAAACACCGTCCACAAATAAATGGATTTTAATCATAGCAGACATTGCGTCTAAATGGGTTGAATTATTCGCTTTGCCAAATGCTACAGGTGAAGCCTGTGCAAAAACCCTCATAGAAGAGATTTTTCTTCGTTATGGAACTCCTAGAAAGCTCATTTCCGACAATGGAGTGAGTCTAATTTGTTAGTGACGTTATGCAGAAAGTCACCCATTGTTTTGGAATTAAAAGTTCTCTAATTCCATTATATCACCCAGCAAGTACCCCTGTAGAAAGGAAGAACAGAGAACTTAAAACTCAGTTGTCCATTTTAGTTCAAGGTCAACATGATACTTGGGATACTCACCTTAGTAGCATCATATTTGCTATTAACTCTACTGTGTGTGACTCTACAAGACAAACTCCAGCTTATCTTACTTTTGGTAGACAATTAAGAGCACCTCACGATACTGCTTATGATTTACGTCAAATAGTATCCACGCATTACTCCTATTTGACTAAATTGGCAGATGTTCTTCTCGACTCCCATGAAATCTTGATGAAAAAGCAAGATCAAAGAAAAGAATTTGCTGACAAAGACAGAAGAAATGTCTTCTACAAGGTTGGAGACAAAGTTTTACTCTCTAGCCATACCCTAAGTGATGCCAAGAAAGGCTACACCAATAAATTTGCGACTAAGCGAGATGGACCTTATATTATTTCCAAAGTTATCACACCTACTTCATATGAACTTTCCACATGTGATAACTCTGAAATACTTGGTCGTTACCATGTAGCTGACATTACTCCATTCCATGCTGAAGAAGAGGCATCTATACCCAAACCTGTTGTTCCTAAGAAGAAAAGGGGTCGCCCACGGAAGATATAGTATTTTCCTAGATGACACTGGAGGACCATTGCGCCATCTAGAGGGGGAGTGTGTAACAAGATGATCGGCTATAAGCGAGAGCCGGCAACGCCGCCATCCATGTAGCGCCAAAAGACATTGAATAATATTAGACAGTATTGTTTTAAGCTTTTAAGAGTTCATTCCCTTCAGGTCGAGACTTGTGTTTTTATAATTGTTTAAACCCGGTATTCATTTGTTTATTCTTAATAATCGTTGTTGTTCGTTTCAGTTTTGTGTTTTGTTAAGTGATTAAAATTATTAATGCTAAAGGAACTTTGTTTAAACCCGCACCCACAACTTATTTGATACTAAGTGTCATAGTATATTTTTTAGTTATTAAGATTAAACATACAGTGAGCATCATAAGTCTTACCCCCCCTAACTAACTCTTTACTGGAGTCTTGTTAGGAAAATTGCCGAGACAGGTCGATTTTTGTTTTCTACAATGTACATTTTTGTATGATTAGTTTACCCTTAATTTCATCCCTTACTGGAGGGGAACAACCCTTTCGAATAATTTAAATGGCATGGGGTGGTGAGTGATAGCTCATTTGAACGGGAGATTTATTCTCTATTCAACCGTGCAAAAAAAATTTAAATTTGCTTTATTACGTGTTGATTTATTAATTTTTAAAAATAGCAAAACCTCACAAAATAGGAAAGCAACTAAACTAATCAGTGATGGATTTACGCCTAGGCACGTGAGGCCCGGGCCTAGGGCGGCATAATCTAAAGGGCGGCAAAATTTTTGAAATGCCAAAATTTTAGAGGCAAAAAAATAACAATTAATTTCAAAAATTGGTTCAGATTAGTTTATATAAAAAATTTTCTATAGAATATATTATAATTCAATTCATTAATTTATTTCTCAATCTGTATGGGTTAGATGTTAATTTTTTAATATACCAATTATAGTTCTTATCGAGTAATGTTCTTTACTTCCTGTTCCTTTAGTGAGATTAATCTCACGTGTATGAAGCGTTTGGAAATTATTAAATCTGAATAACTTCTCAATTTGTTTTTTTTTAGTGTGAAATAAAATACTGTAGATTTGCATGTATTGAATATCATTCAAAAGTGTCAGAACATTTTTTGATTATAAAAATAATTTTTCATGAAAAATAAATCCCGTCTTTTTTCATATTCAATTTTTTGAATCATCAAAATAATTGGTAAAAAACTTGAAATTTTTATTTAAAATAAAAAAAAATCACTTTATATTTTTCATATTTGCAAAAATCTTCAATTACATCTACAAATTTCAATAATTTGACATTTTACGACACTAAAAAAACTTTAAATTAGGTACTGGTTTTTTTTTATAATTTGTAGTTATTATTTTATTTTTGAATTAAACATGAGCGGCTATCGAAAAAAATTTAGCGGTGCAGAATATCGTAAAAGAAAAGCAGAAGAATCTACGAAAATAGATAATTTACTTAAAAAAATTCAAAAAATATCTAGTTTTATGACAAGCTTAAGTAAGTCTTCTAATAATGACCAAAAACCATCATGTTCATCGGTCGTAAGTATCTTGTTGATTGCTAATAACTTTTTTTGTTATATATACTGTTAGTCGGGATGAACATTAAATAAATGCCAGTTGCTTAAATTTATTTTTTTTTTCTAGCCGGAATT